CAATGCTGGACAAGAAGGCAGAACTGAGATAGGAGAGGGTGACAAGGACTGCCAGCTGCTTTCCAGTATTCATGCGTCCCTTCATTCTTAGTGACAGAATTCTAATTTTCATCAAGCAGAAAAGCACATTGCTTAAAAGGCTGTGTTTTCAAACCCCTTTTGTGTCTTGGAGTATCCCATGATATATGAGTAGAATTGGTTGAGTGGGTTTTCCAAAGGAACTTTTAAGTGGGGCTGATACTGTAGGATTATGTTCCTTCTATCTTTCCCATTCCTCTTCCTTCTTCCTGGAATAAAAACCTGAAAGCTGACATTCAAGTGGCCATTTGTGACCATGACGATCCTTGTGAAGAGAAGCTACATACCAAGAATGGTGGATCAAAAAAGTTTATAGTCCCTGAGACCCTACCAAAACATCTGGATTGCCCATCTGGATTCCTTTTACAAGAGAATACAAACTCTAATTTGTTTACGTCAATGTATTTTGTCTCAGCTGCCATCCAAAAGCAGTCCCTAACTGACACAGGGAATATCAGCAGTTCTTTAAGACTCACATGGCATTAGGTCCAATACATGATTTTTGATGCTGATAAGATTGAAATTGAAATTTGAAGATCACTATCTATCTAAACCCAAGCCTATCATCCTTCCCTTATATTTTCAAGCTCACAAAAGCCTCTGACTTCTCATCTGTTTGGCCATCTTTCAGACATGCGTATGAGACTCTCTGTCATCACTCCCGTCCTGGGGCCTGCTCCTAAAGGTACTTAAAACCCTCTGTTATCAACAGGATTGACACAGTAATATGGTCTGTAAACACCCTCTACCAGACCCTACAACCTTGGGATTTGAGCAATGCTCAACCTAACTCATGATCAACAGCAGTCCTGCCCATGAATTTGCACCCAATGACAAGTCTTGCATTTCATTGGGAAGAAGAGGCCCACATGTATGTTGGTTGCCTAATAAGGTCTATGCTAACAATTGTGGCTTTAAATAAGGTGACCCCTTCTGGTTCCATTAAAGGTCAGGTTTCATGACCGAAGCCCAGTCACACCTTAATTAAGCACTTTATGAGCAGAGCAGGGCTGGCATCAAAATGCTGAAACCATCCCCTGGCAAATCAAAGGAGTTCATTGTACCCATTAAACCCAGCAAGGAGGAGGAGAAGAAGGAGGGAGAGAGAGTAAGAGAAAGAGAATATTCATCTGGAGAAAATATTTCTAAATAGAATATAGCTCCTAAAACCTATCTTTTCTAGAAAATATTAGTACTTATGGTGCTCTGGTAGCATAGTTGTTACAAACCGGGCTGCCAATCTCAGGGTCAGCAGTTTGAAACTACCAGCGGTTCCGTGGGAGAAAGATGAGGCTTTCTGCTCCTGTAAAGATTTACAGCCTCAGAAACCCTGTGCAGGGTCGCTATGAGTCGGAACCGACTCTATGGCACAGAACAACAGCAACAATGGTGTTGATTATAATTTCACGCTGTATTATCAAGGAAAGGTACCTACTTGGAAAGCTCTGAACAATGTGATTGAAGTCAAGTCTCAGTGTTAAGATTTCAACCATTTATTTCCTGTCTTACTCTATGAATTAGATGTGAGGGTGTTTCAAATACTTCATGGAAAACTTCCACTATATTTTCATTCCATTTTTTCATGAACTTTTTGAAGCTCACTCATATTACGCTCTTGGTATGGTCTAATTTTGGTTTTCAAACTTTTTTAATTCACTACAATTTTGGCATGCACACTCTTTTTCCTCTAATTCCTACTTATTCCCTTGGTTCAGTGATAAAGCAACCACAACAACTGAACTGGCAAAGTGGCTTGTTTTTACCTTTAATGATTGAAAGTATCTGGCCCTGTGCTTAGTTCTGTATGCAATACTTCCTATCACAGATGGCGTTCCTGAAAGTGATTGTTATATATATGCTGGACCTTTCTCCCAACCACCACGGAGTTTACACTCCAGCTGCAGAGGAGAGCAATGAAAGAGAAGAGCTATGTGTCCAAGGGCTTGACAGAGACACCAAGCTCCACAAGAGGTTAGGAAGGGAAATGATGAGAACAGACCCGTGTTGCAGGGAAAAGCTGTACACATGCATGAAATAAAGAACTGGAGACCGTTCTTGAAGGACAGATGACAACAAAAGGGTGAAGATAAATACAGGCTACTTCAAATATTGCCACATATTTCAAATATTAGTCTCTGGCCTTCTACTCCAATTCTTAAGACAGAAATTGATAAATCATTTTGTTCTTTATGTTCAACATTACAAACATCTTCTTGTAACTGGGACATCAGGTAAGATGCTTTTCACTGCATTTCAAAAATTCTAAGAATTTAGGAATTATATTTCACAAAACTTAGGAATTATATTTCAACTCCTTTTTACAGAAACTAAGAAAACTGATATTCAGATTGTGTGACATGTTCAAGGTCACATAGCAAGTTGGGGACAAAATAAGAACTAAAATTCAGGTCTCCTGATTCCTACTTCAGACTCTTTTCATGCATCGTGGACTATTAGGCACCTGGCTTTCTTGGGTCTCTAAATATCAAGCATATCTCTGAGTCTGAATATTCTAAACCTTCCAAAATGCTGTCTACTCATCCTGTGAAGCTGAGTAAGACAGCCTGTCCAAGATAACTTACCCTGCTCATGAGAAAATGATATAACACAGGATATACATACTGTATTCCACAAATGTTCCATAACAGTGGGACCTGTGATGTGTGTCCTCTAGTCTCCAAGCAAGGGCCAGCAACCCACCATGACCATGCTGTCTTAGGGCATGTGGCTGCCACAACTGCTAGTCCCTTCCTAACATAGTCACTGATAAAGGCAATATTCACAGTATGCTCACCCAGCCTTCCCTTTCAAAAGCCATGAGTCAAACTTCCACAAACTCTATTTCTTTGCACACTATAAACAAACATCTGGGAACTTGACATTCCATGTATGACATTATGCCTTGCCAGCTGCTTCAAAGGAATTCTCTCTTGTGGAACCACAGCATTTGCTAAGTCACCTCACTCTAACTGCGTTTTAGTCATGCCTATTTTATTTTCCCTTTCTCTTTTTCACCTTAACTATTTATGGTACTTTCTTCAAAGCACCAGCACTACAGAGAACTCCTAACATCTTCCTTTACCCTGCTTTGTGGAAACATTCTAGTAATGGAAGTACCTTGAGATTTTGAATGAAACTAGGTAACTAATTTGGTCACTGACCACCATTCTATCTGGGAGGAGTGGTGTGTGAAACTAAGGCTGTCTTTGGTAAGAATTGGAACTTTCTAGAGAGCTCTCATTACTGGAATTCTAGACTGGATCACCTTTCTAAGAAAACAGTTTGCATGGTGAAAAGAAACATGGGCTAAGGAACCAGAGATGTGAGTTAGGTGCTGGCTCTGCCATTTACTTTGCAAATGTTGGCAAGTACTTCATCTCAGAGCCTAAGTTCCTCATTTGTAAAATGGGAGTAATAACATCTGCAAGAAGGAATGAAATGAAATCACTAGTAGACTCCCTGGGTCAGAACAAATGGTATCCTGACATGAACATTTCAGAAGAAAGGTAGAATTTCAACGCTTTTTACTCTGCTATATAGAAGGATAATCCACTATTATATTTAATTTACAGGTTATATTCACTGCACTCAAAATCCACATCTTGAATATTCTTGTGTCCAATAGCTACTCACACCAACCATTTTCTATTGTGCTCTCTCCAAGGACAGCAGAGCTCTGATTTGGGGGAAGGTTACTCTCAGATAAGCCTTTCAATACCATGTGCCTTTATCATGGTAACGACTTCAATCACAAATGGTCAACAAACATAAGCTTGAAAGGGGTCAAGAATCTTCTTTAGGAACAGTCCTTGTGGACATTAAATTTCTGCGGAATGTCCTTCTTAACAGACTGGCTGGCAGGAGCATCACCCCTGTTTAGTAGCACATGACTATGCCACTTTGTGTTGTTGGAGCTCTTACATGCATTCAAGCCAACTGAATCATTAATCTTTTCCCTAGAGCAGGGAGACTTAGCCATTGAAGTCTTACTGGCAAGATTCCTGAATCTTAGCAACAAATTCATCTTTAAGAAATGGAATTTGTATGTTAAATGCAATGAGCTCTGCCTATCAGAAAAGAAACACGCATCCAAATATCCATCAGTGGTGGACCAGAATGTGATTTCTTTTAGAAGGAGCTTCTCCAGAAAACAAATGAGATATTTAAAACATCAGATCCTATGAGAGAAGAACAAAGACTATCTAACGAATCAAGAACTTAGAACACTCCAATACAATCTCACCCAACTATGCCATGGGCTATCAGAATAGGATATTGTCCTTAGAATGAATGAGCCAAGTCTTGAACAAACCTCTCACCAATGAAATTGCCATTCCTAAGAAAATTCAAAGATACTGTCACAATACCAGCCAAACCTATTGGAGTTCTCACCTCTTATCAACATTGTAAGATAAAAAGAAGAAAAAAAACAAAAACTACCTATACTACATTTATCTTCCATCATAGCATTTCTTTATATATTTAAACCAGTGAAAAAATTCTTAAAAATTCCCAGGTTTTCATACCAAAGTTATAATTTTTGTTTATTGTTTTAAAATTTTTAAATACAGTCCAGAATTTCCTGGAAGTTAATAGTGGCACCTATTGAATATATTCCCTTTATCACGTGATAAAGGGAATATATTCAATATATTCATAATCCTAAACATTTGGTTATGTATATGACTCTTCACAGAAAAGATCAAGATCTCTAGTCTCCATGAATACATGGAGCTATAAATATTTCTTCCAAATTATAGATCCATCCATGCTAGGGCTCTCCAAGCAAAAGCAAATCCCCTCCTGTTGGTCTTGATCAGTTCATACCCATTATAACCACCACCACCCCCAATGCAACCATTCTCATGCATGGTCAAAAGGAGTCAAACTCAGGATTCTATAGGGAATCTAATTTCACTCACTTGTCTTCTGCGAAACTTTTCCCAGTAATAACATTCTTCCCTTGGGGGACATAGTTCCAGTATTCTTCCACAATCCCAATGTAGTATGTTCTGGTAACTGTGCCAACCAGTCCAGACAGACTCAGGAATGTGAGGAGAAAGATGCAGCCAGCCTGCTGCTCCCGAGGCATTTGTGGATGTAATTCAGGCAGCAGCCTGTGGAAGAGACAACCCTGCCTGTCCCTCCCCCTCACTCAAAGCTAGTTATAAATAAGGAATGGATAAGGCCTAGCTCCTCCTCCTCCTAGGTAGCTTGGGGTTGGGACAGAGACTGACAACTTGTGTAAGCAGAGCAAGCTCAGTGGGGGAGTTGCTATGATGACAAATTTTGCCAGTCATCCAAGAAACGTGTAACTGGATTATTTATTCCCTGCCCAAGCTAAACAGGCCTGTTTCTGTAAAGTTTGGTGCTCTGCTGTGATATTAGTCATCCACCTTTGCCAGGATGGCAGTGTAACAACTTGAACTGATAGGTTTCCCCCCTTCTTGTGTTTTTCTCCACATCTATTACAGGAACATATTAAAATTTGGAAACTGGACTGGCTTGAATGGAGCATCAGGAAATATCTATCCCAAGCACTGAAGAAAGCTTCAGTCTCTCTCTGTCGAGCAAGCAGGGGGTGATGCAATCACCCCTCTGCCATCTACAACTTGTTTTATGAGGCTACATGAAACAATCAACTCACATCATAAAGTTTGTAAAAACATCATAAACCCCACTAATTCTCCATGTGCGCATGTACTGTGTCCCCCAGATTCTCTCTCCATTAAATGCCATCAGTAAAAAGGAAACATTGATTGTCCAGTTTAGCTAACTTTTAGAGGCTGACTCCCTGCTTATTTTATTCCCCTAAAAAGAACTGCCTTTCTCAGGATGAATAAAAATGATAAGGGAGGAATACTTTTCAGGCACAGGAAGACAAAATTCAGTAGCAGATCTTTGGGTCTAACAGGTGAAGGGCATGCCCGTTCTTCTGTGTGCTTTGAATCTGTGACCTAGAATCTCAGTGTTGAAAGAGATTTGGCCCAACCCTGGAAGACAACCAATCTGATCCCCATGCAGAACTACTCTTGAGGAAGCAGTCATGGAATGCTTTAAGGTTGAATAGACCTGAGCTTAAACCTGAGTCTCCCCATTTAATATACTTCCTGGCATTGAAGAATCACAATATGTATGAGATTATCTATAAAAATGGAAGGATTGTTAAGTGAATTAAAAAAGATAAAGTCTGCAAAGTCTCTTTCAGGACACTCAGTGCAGGGTAAATGCTCAATAAGGATTAAAGTCCATCTACCTGGTAGTGCTGTGGGAATTGGGCTGCTAACTACAAGGTTAGCAGTTCCAACCCACCAGCTACTCTGTGGGAGAAAGATGAGGCTTTCTGCTCCTGTAAAGATGCACAGTCTTGAAAACTCTGTATATGAGTCGAAATTGACCCCAAGTCAGTGTGCTTGGTTTTGATTTGCCTCAACCACATCTCTAGGAAAGCCTCTACATTGGCCTGTATGTTAACAGACTTGTATTTGCATTCACATCTTTCTGCTGTCTTTTCACGACTCTTCCCCAGGTCCCATCTGTCACGCCCTCACCATCTCAAGTAAGAGAAATTTTAATTTTAAGTACTCTATAGATGTGCCATAGTGCAGGTGTTAGTTTACCATCCATCTTAATTAATAAACTGCTTGCTGAGTATCTAGTTTCATGGACTCCTGGTGTGGCACTGTAAGATCAGCACTGGACTGTGAACCAAAAGTCAGCAGTTCAAACTAACCAGATGCTCCTCAGATCCTACACAGGTTCACTCTGAGTCGGAACTGACTTGACAGCACTTAACAACAAAACAACAATATCCAGTTTCATAGCCAGGTTCCTAACATGTTTGATTTTTAAAAAATGTCAAAGACACTTGTAAAATAGTTGCCACAGTGCAAGTTTCTATGATCAAATCTACTCTCTAGTATAGATTTGGAGGTCTTGTACGGATTTGCCAACAGCCACTATTAGGGAGAGTCTTACAGGATAGGCCTGGAAGCATGGCTTCAAAAGAAGTTGGGTTTTAGGAGATCTTGGAATTTGGAAATGTCTCAGATCAAATAGCTTTTGGTTTAGATTCCAGAGAAGCAGGCTATTTTTTGAACCAACAAGCTTGTTGTTAAATGTCATCAAGTTGGTTTCAACTCATAGCAACTCTAAATAGAGTTTCCGAGGACCAGGTGGTGGGTTTGAACCACCGAACCTGTGGTTAGCAGTTCAGTGCTTATCCAACATCACCATGGTATCAAAAACGTCCACTCAATTTTGTTTAGATGGGAAGAGCAAAACGTATAAATGATTAGATTGAAAAGAAAACCAAAAGTTAACTTTCCTATCCAGGATATTGACATCATATAATGAAGACACTGGAAAAGGCATCACCTAATTTCTGATTCAAAGCTAGATCTGTCAGAGGCTAGACCAGATCAAGAGCAGCAGAGGAGCTGTGGCAGATCAGATGAATGCTTTTGATGTTGTTGTTGTTAAGTGTCACCAAGTAGGTTCTGACTCATAAAGACCCCGTATAGGGTTTCCATGGAGTAGCTGGTGAGTTTGAACCACAAACACTGTGGTTCAAACCGACCTTGCGGTCTAATGCTTTATCCTACAATGTCACACCAGGACTCCAAAGGCCAGCTAACATACTATTTATCTGAATTATAATTAAGGTTCACAGTTTATATTGGAGTTCACTTCTTGTGTGGTACAGTCTTAAGTTTTGACAAATGTATAATGTCATATATCTATCATTACAGTATCACGCACCATAGTTTCACTCCCTTTAAAATGTCCTGTGCTCCACTTATTCATGCCTCTCCATCTCCCCAGAACTGTATTTTTATCAATTTCTTTTTTCTTTAGCTCTGAAGGAATTCAGATGCTATTGAAGTAGCACTTTTATTATCTTATAGTAAGGACAAAGTCCATCTTGTTGGGTGTCTTCCTCTTTTTTTTTTTTGCTGACCCTCTACTTTTCCATGCATGATGTCCTTCTATTGGGACTGGTCCCTCTAGACTACATATTAAAAGTACATTAGAAGAAGTCTCACCATCCTGACTTCTAAGGAGCTGAAAACATCAACAGAACAAGGAAGGAATTTTGGTACAGAGTCACTGTACCAAAATAATTGATAGGTCTCTAGCCATTTCAAGAGATACCATATGGTCAAACAAAACCTACCTAAACTTACACAGAGTGAAGTAGAAAAAATGAACAGATCTAAAACAAAGAAATTTATCAAGTCATCAAAAAATTCCAAACCAAAGAAGTCCAGGCTCAGATGGTTTTACTGGTTCATTTTACCAACCATTCAGAGAAGAACTGACACCAATGTTACTCAAACTATTCCAGAATATAGATAAGGATGAAAATTTTCCTAATACATTTTATGATGCAAGCATAATCCTTATACCAAAACCAAGGAAGGGGCATTATTAAAATAGAAAACCGGAGACCAATATCACTCATGAGGAGTCCTGGTGTGGTGCTGTGGGTTAATTTGTAGGACTACAAAGTCAGTTTGAACCGCAAGGTTGGTGGTTCAAGCTCACTAACTGCTACTCCAAAACCCTATGCAGGATCGCTATAGGTTCAAACTGACTCAACAGCACTTAACAACAACAAAATCACTCATGAACTTAGATGCAAAAATTCTGAACAAAATCCTAGCCAACAGAATACAAAAATATAATACATCATAACCAAGTGTGAGTCTTACCAATTCAATGTTGGAAAAACATTCAACGCCAATCCACCATATAAATTTTAAAAAGGAAAAAAAAAAAAAAAAACAGATGCCATATGATCAAGAACTGATAGTATTGAAGGAAGAAGTCCAAGCAGCACTGAAGGCATTGGCTAAAAACAAAGCTCCAGGAAATGAAAAAATGAAAGAATACAAATGAAAAAATTTCAACAAATGGATATATCACTGTATGTACTCACTCATCTATGTCAAGAAATTTGAAAATAACATTGTGTATGATATTCAAATAATACAGCTTTCAATGAAGAAACCAATTCAAATGAATATTTAGCTGGTCTTTGCTTAAATGTTGTATTAAATAATAAATAAAATGTAAGTGACAAAATTGATTACCATGTTTTAGACTTTTTTGTATTTTTGAAGCTCTTCATTAAATACTTCTTAATGACTCATCATATCCCCAAATCTAACTCCCAGAAGTCCAGTACTCCTACATCTCTGGCATAGTAGATCACAGCTCTTCAATCTCATTGAGATGTTCAGTTCTTTGTACTTATTGCTTTCTTCCTGGAGCCTACAGCTTTTTAAGAGCCCTCACTGGAGGCAGAGCAATACTCCAAAATACAGACAGGACTGGGCCACTTCAGTGCTTGAGATCCTCTAGTGACTCCTCAAGGTCGATGAACTTGACTTGACTTGATTCTCAAGGCTGGTCCTAATCTGGCTCCTTGGGAACTGGGAACCTTTCCTTAACTTTCAGTCCATAATTTGGTCATCATTCTCATGACATCGAGTCTGCCCATTATACTGCATCACCTGGCCCAATAATCACATCTATTTGTCTGCCCTCCAACATTAGTCCTCAACATAGGCTTCCAATGGGCAGGGACAGGGCCTTATTCATCCCAGTGACTCTAGTGTCTTACACATCATTGTGGTAGTGTGCCAATAAGTCGGTTCCTACTCATAGCGACTTTGTATAGCATTTCCAAGGCTATACATTTTTACAGGAGAAAGCTTCCTCTTTCTCCAGCAGAACGGCTGGAATTTGTTCAATGGTGAACCAATGCATGAGTGCATTAATGAATATGTATACATAAACTGAGTGCATGTTATGTAGCATTTTCTGCCCTAAGAATGTCTTTACATAGATTCTTTCATTTAATTATTACAACAATCCTATCAAAAGAGGAAACTGAGGTGTGACACTTAGTTGGTAAGCTATGGAGTTTAGTGAGACTCTATAATCAGTGTTCCTATCCAGCCCATTCAGAACAAGGAACACAGGGAAGAGGTATACCAGAGACCATGTGACTCTTCCTCACACAACTGAGAGAAAGTTACTCTCATGTGAGAAATAAAGGCCAGGACTAATCAAGGACCACTTGAT